AATAACACAAGAGCTGGTTAACAACTTTTTTTTTTTTCTGGTTAACAACTTTTATACAGAGCTCTTACAAATCTGTAAAAAGGAAAAAAATAATAAAAAAAGCAAAAACACAAATACTCAATCCTAAAAATCAGTGAAACAAAAACAATAATACTCTGAAAACCTCAAAAAAGAAAAAACATTTGGTGTTGAAAATAATTAGATGTAATGCTCTACTGGAGAAGGAGGGACAATCTCCTTCTGTACCAATCAGATACAATTAGACAGTACACACAAAAATAAAAATGTAAAAGGAATGTAAAATATTAAAAAAAGAAAATAATTATATATCATTTCTTCATGTTCTATACTGTATGATTCCATAGAAGTCATTTAAGATTCTGTTTGAGGACTGAGAAAAAATGTAAATCTCTATTACAGAGAATTTTACAAAAGTAATAATCCAGCTCTCTGCTCCTCGTCAATCCAGACTGCCCTCTCTTCTCGTGCAGGCTCAGCCACATCCCTGAGACACGATGATGAATGTCAGAGAAAACGGATTTGGTCGCATTGGGCGTCTGGTCACCAGGTCTCTTTTAATTCTGGCAAAGTGAATGTTGTCACCATCAATGATCCCTTCACTGATCACAACTACACGGTCTATATGTTCCAATATTATTCCACCCATGGCAAGTTCAACAGCACTGTCAAGGCTGAGAATGGGAAGCTGGTCATCAATGGGAAAGCCATCACTATCTTCCAGGAGTGAGATCCCGCCAACATCAAGTGGGGTGATGCTGGTGCTGAGTATGATGTGGAGTCCACTGGTGTCTTCACAACCTTGGAGAAGGCTGGGGCTCACTCAAAGGGTGGTGCCAAACGGGTAATCATCTCTGCTCCTTCTACAGATGTCCCCATGTTGGTGATGGGCATGAACCACGAAAAGTATGACAATTCTCTCAAGATTGTCAGCAATGCCTCCTGCACCACCAACTGCTGGGCTCCACTGTCCAAGGTCATCCATGACAACTTCAGCATTGTAGACGGACTCATGATCACAGTCCATGCCATCACTGCCATCCAGAAGACTGTGGATGGCCCCTCTGGAAAGTTGTGGCGTGATGGCCATGGAGCTGCCCAGAACATCATCCCTGCATCTACTAATGCTGCCACGGCCCTGGGCAAGGTCATCCCTGAACTGAATGGAAAACTTACCGGCATTGCTTTCCACGTCCCCACCCCCAATGTGTCAGCTGTGGACCTGACCTGCCATCTGGAGAAAGCTGCCAAATATGATGACATCAAGAAAGTAGTAAAGCAGGCATCAGAAGGGCTCCTCAAGGGCATCCTGGGATACACTGAAGACCAGGTTGTCTCCTGTGACTTTTAATAGTGATAGCCACTCTTCCACCTTTGATGTTGGGGCTGGCATTGCCCTGAACAACCACTCAGTCAAACTCATTTCCTGGTATGACAATGAATTTGGCTACAGCAACTGGGTGGTCGACCTGATAGTTCACATGGCCTCCAAAGAATAAGAGCCCCTTGGACCACAGGCCCCAGCAACAGCACTAGAAGAGAGAGAGAGACCCTCAGCTGCTAGGGAGTCCTTGCCCCAACTTGATCCTCCCACACACTGAGAATCTCACATCCTTGACACAAGTTTCCATCAAATCCTCCTAAGAAAGGGGAGGGGCTTAGAGAGCCCATCTTATTATGTAGCATCAATAGAGTACACTGTACTCAGCCAAAAAAAAAAAAATAATAATAATAATAATAATCCTTCTCTTGTCACAGCAATTTTCTCATTCCACTGTTTTCTAAAAAAGATTGTATATTATAAGTCCTTATTTAATTTCTTTTTCCCTTTACCAGACTCAGATCACTGGGAGCAGAGATCCTATTACTCAATTCCTTTGCCTACTGAGATAGGACTATACAGGGATACACTGAGTATCTATTAGTCCCTTCAATTTTAGCCCACCTTGTTCCTAAAGGGTCTCAAGTAAGAAACAAAAAAACAGAGTAATATACTTAAGAAAATACATTAAGGCTTTCAAGTTTAAAAGAGCAAGGGATATAGGGCTCCTATGGGCCATCTTAATTTCAATCTACTAGAAAACAACTTTGAACATCAAAGAATATCAAACTAGCTAGAGACAGAAAGAAAAGTACTAGTGAAAAACATAACATCCCCCATTATATAAAGATTAAAAAAGACATCATATAAAATGAAATAGATACATGTTAAGACACTGCAGATCAATTATTTTTTTTAAATTAGAGAGGAAGAAATAGGTAGAGTATAAGTTATTTGAACTGTATTTAGTAACCCTATTGATGGCGCATTAAGTGATCCCATATTGAGACTACAATATGTAAATTGAAGCAAAATGGCTGATAAAGAAATACACTATCATTTGCTGTTTTGGAAATAATAACCTTACTTGAAGAACGTATCCTAATAGCAGAAGAAAGGTAATATAAATGTAACATAGAAGAGATTAAACCAAACACCAAAATTAAAAAAAAAAATCTTCTGTAGGACGGAACTTGACAGAAAGCAAAGAGTACCAAAGGAATGTCTATCTGTGTTTCATTAACTATGCAAATGTATTTGACTGTGTGGATCACAACAAGTTGTAGCTAAATTTGAGGAGAATGGGAATCCCAGAACACTTGATTGTGCTTACTGAAACCTGTACTTGTACCAGGAAGCAGTCCTCAGACAGAGCAAGGAAATAACTGCATGGTTCCAAATCAGGAAAGGAGTGTGTCAGGGATGGATCCTGTTTCCATACCTTTTTAATCTATATGCAGAACAGATCATCCAGGAGGCTGGGCTTTTTGAGGATGAATGTGGCATCAGGATTGGAGGAAGGCTCATTAACAACCTATGTTATACAGATGACACAACCTTGTTTGCTGAAACTGAGGAGGACCAGAAGTGCTTGCTGCACAAAGTAAAGGACTGCAGTCGTCAGTATGGATTGAAGCTCAACATCAAGAAAATCAAGATTCTTACCACTAGGCCAATTGGCAGCACCATGACAGATGGAGAAGATGGAGGGTGTTAACGACAACAGCCTGCTGGGCTCCACAATCAACACTCTACATACTAGCAGTCAGAAAATCAAAAGATGAATTGTACTTGAAAAATCTGCTGTCAAGGACCTCTCCTGAGTACAGAGTAGCAACGGTGTCAATCTAGAGACTAAGGTGCACCTGATCCAAGCCACGGTCTTTGAAATTACTTGCTATGCATCAGGGAGCTGGACAATAACTAAGGATAACAGAAGACGACTAGATGCCTTTGAGTTGTGGTGCTGGTGAAGAGTCTTGGATCACCAAGAAAACAAACAAAAAAAAATTTTTTAAAAATCTGTCTTGGGCAGGGTAAAACCAAGTTCCTCCTTGGAAGCTAGAATTTTGAAGCTCTGTCTCACATTATTTCAGGTATGTGGCCAGGGGAAACCAATACTTGGAGAAGGATGTCGTGCTTGAAAGGGTAGAGGGACAGTGCAGGAGAGAAAGATCCCAGATGAAATGGACTGATACAGTAACTAAGGAAATAGGGGTAGGTGTGTCAGAGTCAGTGAGACTGGCTTCAGAGCTGTTGTCCATAGGGTCATGATGAGTTGCAGGCAACTTGATGACACAACATTACAGCAATCACTTGATTTATTTTCTCCTAAACAAAAAGAAATATTCAGGTACAACCTGCTCTTCTTTTCCTTCCACCTACGCCCAGAAATAAACCAATATAACAATAACCACCATATATGAGAGTAAGAAAGCTAACAGACTGTGACTGTTAAAATGACTCCGGGTCAACATGAAAAACTATAAAGTAACTATGCATAAATCTATTCTTTCCTAAACATAAGAAATATATAAATACTCTAAAATGTCAAAACAACTATGAGATATCATCTCACCCCAGTAAAAAAGCAAAATTTAACAGAACAGCAAGCAACAAATGCTGGTGAGGTTGTGGAGAAACTGGAACCCTTATTCACTGTTGGTGGGAGTGTAAAATGGTACAACCATTATGGAAGGTGGTATGGCGCTTTCTTAAAAAGTTGCAAATAGAGTTATCATTTGACTCAGCGATTCCACTACTGGGAATATATCCCAAAGAGATCATAACTGACAATCAAGCAGATATATGCACACCCATGTTTATTGCTGCTTTGTTCACAATAGCAAGGATCTGGAAACAACCTAAGTGCCCATCAACAAATGAATGGATAGAGAAGCTGTGGTATACTCACACAATGGAATACTACACTGCATTGAAAAACAAGGAACTCATGCAATATTATTCAAAATGGGTGACCCTGGAGGACATTATGCTGAGTGAAGTATCTCAGTCACAAAAGGACAAATACTGCATGGTGCCACTTTTGTAAAACAGGACTGACATCAGGGTTGGGAGGAGACTGAGAAAGATGGGTTCAATAATGTATACTGCACTGAAACAGATGAGGGAGAAAACTGTTTAAAAGGGATATGTGATTAGGTATTTTTGTCGTGACAGGAGTCCAGAGAGAAGGCTGCATAGTGGAGTGGACCTAGGGGGAGGGATTGTAAAACAATGAAAGAATTTTTATTTTACTTTTCTAGTAGTATACTAGAGGGGAGAAAAGTGTAACAATGAATGAATGGAAATCCAGTCTCTGTAAATTTTCATTGAAATTAACAATAAATTTAAAAAAAAATAAAATCTAAAATGTAACTAGTCATCTTCAGTGGGTAAGACGAAAAACTGGCAAATTAAAGAATCAATCATTCATTCTACCTCTCCTATCTAAACAGCAGGTAACCAAACAGTAGATGAGAGAAAACACCTCTTTATAATTAATTATTCTGTTGTGTACCAATGAGTCCGAACTGACTCACAGCTGACGCTCCAGTGAAGCTGCTGCTGGATTTGAGCTGCACACCTTTGGGATTATTGTGCAGCTTCTTACCACCAGGCCACCAGAGTTCCTAATAAATTATTCTAACATGAAAAAGAAATTATAATTGTACAATGTCCAATGAATTAACAGACCTAGGCAATGAACATGAATAACTGCTAATACCACAAATGAGGGGTTACTTGACATGCTTATATTTTCACCAAAGGTATCTAAAATAACTCTCATCACACTATTTGACCAAGTCATCAATTTTCAAGAAATGTATAAAGGAATACACAGAAATATACCATGAGTACACAATTAACATATATTTGGATGATTTTCTTTATCTGTATCTTACTTTTAAAAAAATGTTAACAAGAAATCAAAGACTTTCTTGACTAGGGACTATCACTCTAGAACTAAGAAATAAAATTCAGTGAAATGTCAGCACTCACATTATTCATATTGTACTTTCAGGTAGTTGTAACATACCCTCATGATTACACATTCTAAAAAACATTTTCAAGATCATTAAAGAGTGAAACGGTATCTACAGAACCCAGAAAGACTATGGTTTCTAAATTTATCAGAAACGTAGAAACTTACTGGGTAAACTTTTAACCTCCAGCAGAGTCCTGAAACCTGAAGTGGTGGACTATAAACAGGATCCGCTCTCTGGCGCAGAGTGCTAAAAAAGAAAAAAAAAACCAAAAAAACAAAAAACCCAACCAAATCCCAAGAACAAAATTGTTGTAAAAAAGAAACAAGAAAATCTAAATCAACCAATTCATTTATGTTATATATTGCCCTTCACCTATTGTTACATATTTATTGTCAAGTATTTTTCTTGACAAGCAAAGTAAGGGAACAATTCAAGATTTCACTGTTTTAAGGGGAAAAGGAATATCCTGAATACAATTATTGTGTCAACAAGCAACGTATGTTACTACTAAAAACTAACAAAAATGAGAATGTGATACTTTTTCACACCCCTATAACATCCTTTCACATCCTTTGATAAATGGAAAAACAAGGACAACCCTTATTAACGTTGGGAAAATGTATCAAAACCAGTAATATATTAATAACAAAATTATCCCTGCAGGAAAAAAAATAAAATTAACATAGAACTGTATATTCTTAAAGTTTACCATTCCTTTTATGATTATCACCATCTACTTGGAACTTCTCTCTGTAAGGCAAGACTTAGGTAGGAGAGAAAACAAAAGCCTTGTATTCTTAGCTTCTTACTTCCATGCTATCCTTGTAGAGAAGCCCCCATGAGTCTTTGGGAGTAAAGATTTCTGCTTCTCAACTTAGGAAAAGCCATAAAGGCTAATAAAATTAACACACAAATTGCACAACCTACAAATTTTTTTTGAGCTAAGACATAAAGATCTCAAAAAGAATTTTTCCAAGCTTTTATTTCTGAGAAAAAGGCAGAAAAACTCCCAGACCATTCAAATCCTTCCTCTGCTGCCTTAGCAAAGGCTACGTAGACAAATTTTTTTCAGACGTTCTTCTTTAAAATGGGTCCTTTTTCCCAACCACATACATTGTCAGTAAAGACAAAATAGTCTAGAAAAATGAACTTTATGCTTCTCATAGGAACCTTGTTTCTTCTAAGAATACTAACTCAGTGATACACTTCACTATATCTTTATCCTACCCACAAATGACTTTTCTTATAGTAAAAAAGTAGTTATCAAAACTTACCTAAAATTCTCTAAAACAAAAGTGGCTGAATCATAAGATGGCACTAATTCACTAGGAGAGAAAAACAAAACAAAACACTTCGCTCGTTTAAATTTTTATTTAGTTAAAAAAATAAAGCAAATTTTTAAATAACATCTTACAAATGTTAGGATACTAAGTCTAAGAAATGTTTTTATAGACTTATTAAACCTATTAAACCAAATAATTCATATAGATCCTAGTTTTTCTTTCAAAAAAAGATAAAAGGAAAAACAAAACAACTATGAGATATCATTTCACCCCAGTCAAAAAGGCAAAATTTAACAGAAGAGCAAGCAACAAATGCTGGCGAGGTTGTGGAGAAACTGGAACCCTTATTCACTGTTGGTGGAAGTGTAAAATGGTGCAACCACTGTGGAAAGCGGTATGGCCCTTTCTGAAAAAGTTGCAAACAGAGATACCATTTGACCCAGCAATTCCACTACTGGGAATATACCCCAAAGAGAGCATAACTAATATCCAAGCAGATATATGCACACCGATGTTTATTACGGCTTTGTTCACAATAGCAAGGACTTGGAAACAACCTACGTGTCCATCAACAAACGAATGGATAGAGAAGCTGTGGTATATTCACACAATGGATACTATGCTGCTTTGAAAAACAAGGAACTAATGCAGTATTATTCATAATGGGTGACCCTGGAGTGAAATATCTCTGTCACAAAGGGACAAATAGTGCATGGTGCCACTGTTGTAAAACAGGACTGACATTGATGTTGGGGGGACATTGAGAATGATGGGATAAATAATGTATACTGCATTGAAACAGATGAGGGAGGAAACTGTTTAAAAGGGATATGTGATTAGGTATTATTGTCATGACAGGAGTCCAGAAGGAAGGCTGCATAGTGGAGTGGACCTGGGGCAGAGATTGTAAAACAATGGGGGAACTTTTCTTTCTCTTTTCAAAGAGAAGAGTGTACTGGGGGTGAGGGATGGGAAGGGAGAAAAGTGTAACAATGAATGAATGGAAATTCAAAGTCTCTTTATATTTTCATTAAAAATAATTTAAAAAAAGAATAAACATGAATTCCCTTCTTAAAAAAGCCCAAAACCAAAAAAAGGGACGCAAATATATAAAAACACACACACACACACACACACACACACACACACACCTCTCAAGAAAATCAAACTCACTGCTTAATTCATGCCCTGCATGACTAAGTTTAGTAATACTCGTTAGCTCATTAGGACTCTTTACAAGCTGCTGGTACTCTTTAGCAGTAAACAGGCACCTTACTACCCACTACCCCATTAAGCCTCCTTTTCTCAGCTCTCTGGCTCCATGAGTTGAGAAGCCCACTGTGCCATCTCCTGTGCTGCTGCTGCTATTTCTCCATGGATGCTCTTAAGCATCTAGACCTGTATTCTCTCCATAGTTCTCTGGTTCAGAATTTAGGAGGTTCTCAGCACAAGGACCTCAGTTCCAAAGAACATAATTTGCTCCACACTTGTCTTGTTATTGGTTGTGATATCTCCCTTTCCTACCTCCAAATTGTTCATTTTAAGTCTTCAATCAGGTTTCAGACGCTATAAATGTCACAAGAGATTTTCCATCTTTCTCCTGACGAGGAGCTAGCAGAAGAGGAATCACCAGCCTTTCAGTCGGCAATGCAAGTCTTTTTTTTTTTTAATTATTATTAAATTTTATTAGTTTCAATGAACATTCACAGGGATTCTGGGCTTTCACTCCTTCATTGCCGCACCATTCTCTCTACCCTCCTCCCCAGTTTGTTCTTCTTCCCCGCCATCCGAATGTCTGTTTTAATTGTCCAGTTGCCACAGTGCTTGTCAAAGTCAGTTCTGATTAATCTCCTTTGTCGATGTGTCCTTTGCCATTCCCTATCACTCCTCCCTGAGAGAGACTTCACCCTGATTCATAAGGAAAAGGGGATGGCGTATTCTCTTAGCTACTTCCTGCTGAAAAGGGACGCTGTGGGTTTCAGGGTGAAGATCTTCTCTCACTATTCTAAAGGGCCCCTTTGGCAGTAGGAAACACACAGACTATTATGGAGATTGATTTTGGAATTTAGATGCACTCTTATTGATTGTGCTTGGCCATACATGTTCATATCCTTGAAGATGTATCATGGGGGTGTTGCAACCTAGAAGACACAAATGCAACTCTTAACCACTAGGCCACCAGAACTCCTTATCTGCATGTTATTATTGTTGTTGTTCGCCACTGAGTGGGAAATGACCCACAGGTGACCCTCCAGCAGGTTTTCAGAGACAGTAACCAAACGGGAAGAAATTGCCCAACCTTCTCTAATAGAGCAGCTGGTAAATTCTAAATCGTTTATCTTCAGGATTGCAGTATAGATACTTACCACTAGGCAACTGGAGCTGCTTATTTGCAGAGTCTCATCAAATCATTTGGTAGGAGTTACAAAACAATATAAAAACCATCAATCATGTCACATTAAGACTGCTAAAAAAATACTAAACTCACTGTTGTCAAACCATTTCTGATACAAAATAGGGTAGAATTATCTACAGAATTTCTGAGACTATAAAAATCATTACAGGAGCATACTATCTCAGCTGCGGGGTTTACACTATAATGACCTTTCCATTTGCAACCCAATGTTTAACCTATAGCACAACCAAGGCCCTTGAGTTGTTTTTTTAAAAAAAAAAAAACACCAAAAAACATCATGGCCTAGTAGAGCTAGGTTGCCATCCAGAAGGCGCAAGGCTCGAATTCACCAGATGCTCCATGGAGGAAAGATGGGTCAGCTACTACTAGTCAGTTCCAACGTGAGGATATACAACAACAATCTGTGTAGCTAAACAGGTCCTTTATTTTTCATGGTAAGTGTCATTTACCCTGTAAGTCTTGATCACATTCCTGTTATACAAATCATCTATGGCTAAGTATTCCTAAAGGAAACCTGGTGAGTTGTGAATATTATGTCAGGCTGCGAAGCAAAAGTTGAGTGGTTTGAATTCCCAACACGCTCTATGGGGAAAAGATAGGTAATCCTTTCCTACAAAGATTTACAACTTCAGAAACCCAATGAAAGGCAGCAATGAGTCAGAACTGACTCAACAAGAGTAGGCTAGACTAAAGACTCCTAAAGGAGCCCTGGTGGCAAATGGTTAAGGTGGTGGATTGGCTGATAAAACAAAAGGTCAACAGTTTAACTCCTGTAGCTGCAACCTGGGAGATGCTGTTGTTGTGTTGTTATGTGCCATCGAGTCGTTTGCGACTCATAGTGACCCTATGTACAACAGCCCTAAACCCTGCTCTATCCTATGCCAATCGCACTGC